ACACGTACACGTACACGTACACATACACGTACACGTACACGTACACGTACACGTACATGTACACGTACACGTACACGCACACGCACACGTACACGTATGTGTACACGTACACGTACACGTACACGCACACGTACACGTACACGTACACGTACACGTACATGTACACGTACATGTACATGTACACGTATACGTATACGCACACGCACCCGCACACGCACACGCACACGCACACGCACACGTACACGTACACGTACACGTACACGTACACGTACACGTACACGTACACGTACACGTACACGTACACGTATACGTATACGTATACGTATACGTATACGTATACATATACATATACAGTTACATGTACATTCACATTTACATTTGCATTCGCATATTCATATACATATACGTACACGTACACGTACACGTACACATACACATACACATACACATACACATACACATACACACATACACATACACACACACGCACGCACGCACGCACGCACGCAAGCACGCACACCCACTTACCCACACTCCCACAGCCACGCATGCACGCGCGCACACACACACACTTTGCGTCGGGGGGCTACCTAAACGGGGGCACCGTGAAAGCGAATTGTGCCACCGTGCAGGAGGGGGGGAAAAAGCACAGGCAGCGGTCGGAAAAGGGGGTGAAAGGAGCGAGCCGCTCAGGGGGACGGGTCACGCCCCGAGCGTGTGGCGCGGCTGGCCCCGCTGGCGGGCCCGTGGCGGCTGCTGCACCGAGGGCCCGGCGATGGCGGGGCGCAGTGCGGGGGCAGGTACCATCCCAGAGGGGCAATGGTGCAAAGCGGTCAGTCTCAACGCCTGATGGCCGCCCTTCCCCCGGGCGGGAGCGGGCGTGGTTGCCAGCAAAATGCTGGGGCGCCAGCGGCGGGCGACAAGACCAAGCCTGTGGGGCCGGCGCGGCGGCTGCGAGCAGCCGGTCAGCGCCATGGTGGCGCGTGGAGGATAGGAGAGCGAGCGGGAGGGGGGACAAGCGAACACACACATACACACACACACGCACACACGCACACACACAGACACACACAGACACACACAGACACACAGACACACACACACACACACTCACACACACACGCACACACGCACGCACGCACGCGCCGACGCACGCACGCACGCACGCACGCACGCACGCACGCACACACACACACACAAAAACACACACACACACACTTGCGCGCACACACACACACACACGCACACACACACACAAACACACACGCGCGCACACACACGCACGCACGCACGCCCGCACGCAGGCACGCATGCACACACATACAATATATTGCGGTATGTAGTATATATACACAGCATATCTACAGAGGGCTACACACACGATAGAGTGCTCCGCATAGATACGGCTCCACACACGCCAACGCCGCTCGCCACCGACCCTCACAGCTGTTGTAAAGGTCAAGCTTTCATTCCAAATGAAGTCCGTGGGACGCCCATGTAGCTTCTGATGGATTCGCGCCGGGGGGCGCGTTGAGCAGGCGTGGGTGGTGCTGAGAAGTGGTCAGCGGTTGCCGTGATCATGCCATATTGGTGTTTACCATCCTCATTCGCTTCCTCCCCTTCTTCGTCGCAGCAAGCTTGTTCGTCATCGCCGTCATGCCCTTCGTCGCTGTCGCCGCCGCTGTCGTCGTCCTCCCCATTACCGTCCCTTGTATCCTCTCTCGTCGTCGTCGCCCTCCTCCTCCTCCTCCTCCGCTGCCTACCCGTAGATCCACGGATGCTGGGGCTTCGGTGCCAGTCCTCGGGTGACGGCCCGAGTGGCGTGCCTAACCTAACCTAGCCCGCTGCCTCCCCGTGCACACTGCTGCGCGGTGTTGCAAGGAAGAGTGAGCACTGCGCTCACTGAACAAGTCGGACAGCATGGCAGTCATGGTGCGCGTATCGTCCACTCGCGCCTGCCTCTGCGCCTTCGTCGCCCGCCCCTGCCCGCTCCCTGCTGCGAGAGGGGAGGGGGCCTCCCCTCGCTGCTGCCCTGCGGCCCCGCGGCTCCCGCCGCCTCGCCCCCCTCCCCCCCCAGAGGAGATGGACCAGGACGCGAGCGGCGCCTACGGCTCCTACGAGAGGGGGCAGTTTGGTGTGCGGAGGCCGCTCGGACGGGGCAAGGGGAGGCGCGAGGCGGGGAGGCTCGTCCTTCGCCTCCTCCCCCTCCTCCTCCTATCTCCTTCCCCTCCTCCTTCTATCGCCTCCCCCTCCTCCTCCTCATCCTCCTCCTATCTCCTGCTCCTCCTCATCTTCCTCTTCCTCCTCCTCCTCCTCCTATCTCCTCCCTCCACTTCGCTTCTCCTTCCTCTTCTTCCCTCCCTCCTCCGCCTCGCTCCTTTCTCCTCCCTCCTCGCTCCTCCTTCCTCGCCTTCCCCCCATCCTCCTCATACCCGCTCCCTCGTCGCTCCCTCCTCGTTCCTCACTCCTCCGCTTCCCTGCCATGTCGTTCTTTCTCCGGATTCCTTCTCTCTCTCTCTTTTCGGGGTGGGTGTCGGAGAGGGCGAGGAGGAGGCCGAGAAGGCGGGGGCGGAGTGGTGCCAGGGATTCGGCCATCTTGTGGCTATACGTGTCACCGAGGCCACCCTCGAACCATTCCGCACACCGTGATTGCGACGATGAGCGAGCCCGCGAACACGTGCACGAGCTGCGAAGGCTCACAGAAGGGCAAGCGCGGCAAAGCCAACTAGTCGTTTCTTCCGTTGTGGCGCAGAGCCGGCGCGGGCTCGCGGGCGCGCGCCTCTCGGCAGCGACGAGTCGGCGAACTGAAGCCGTTGGCCTCCTCTTCTCGTCCGCCTCGCCTCTTCTTCCTCCCCTCCGCTCGTGTCGGCAGAGGCGTGCCGGGCTCCTATTTCCCGATCGACTTTTCTCTTGGGCGATAAACGCACGGGGTGTGGTGAAGAACGGTGCACCTCTTGTCCACCTCAGGGGCCATAAGAGACAATGCGTTTTGTCCACCCCAGGGAAAACACGTGTTACACCCCCCTTGCCCCCCCCCTTCCATCCGTAACAGTAACGCCCTGGCCCGGTCCAGTGCGCGATCCCTGGTAGCCTAGGGTCTGTGGTGCACGTGGGCACTAGTAGTGCCGCGGTGCACGCGGGCGTGCACCATTGTGACGCATGTGCTGCGGTGCACACGGGCGTTGTGGCACACTTTTTTTGCGTCGGCGGCTGGGCAGACAGGTGACTGCTCCGGCGGAGTGGCAACAGGGGACCCGCTGAATGCAAAGTAAGGCCGCAATGCACGGAGGAGGAGGAGGTTGTGGCACACACACACACACAAGCACACACACACACACATCTGCCGTTGCAGCAGCAGCTGTGGTGCACACAGGCATAGTAGGTGTACGCGAGCATTGTGGTGTACACATCACAAACCCTGTGATGTACACAGGCGCCGTCGTGTACACAATCGCTGTAGTGTGCAAAGTCGGTATGATGTAATTATGCGTTGAAGGGCTATAATGTACGCATCTGTTCCTACTTGTTCTTCCTCCCTCTTAATGTTCGTCCTCCTCGTCGTCGTCCTCCTTGCGCATACGAGACGCTGACATCTGTGGCGTACGCAAGGAGGTTGTGCACAGAAGCCTTGTGGAGCACAAAGGCCTTGTGCTGCACAATCGCTGTGGGCTCAAAATGTCCACGCGTTTCTCGCCCAGAAAAGCCCATAATTAAGCACAATCAGATCATACATTGAATCTGATACATTCGAGCTCCCAGCAATTTCCCGGACTTTGGCTCCGTCGGGGCCGTAGAGGTGCACACGAGGAGGATGATGAGGAGGAGGAGGAGCAGGAAGTGGAGGAGGAGAAGGAGAAGGAGGAGGAATAATATCAGGTAGGTGTGCGCAGGCTGCGCGTGGTGCATCGGGCAGATCCGGTGGCGGTCTCGTGCACGGATTCCTGCAACTGCAACGATTTTTGTTCAGATGGTGGTGTGCATTTTGGCAGTGCTCTTGGAAAGAGGGCGCGGGCTCCGAGCTGTCGACCCCATGGTGGGGTTCCTTTTGCGCCTCCTGCTTCGTCTGCTGGTGCTGCTGTTCCTCCTGCCTCTCCTGCGTGTATTCCCTCGGCTGACGCCGATCCGCGCGCCCCCAAGCCGCGTGGTGTTCACGAGCGCCGTGGCTCGCGCAGTTGCCATGACGCGCGCCGTCGCTATGGCATACGCAGGCGTTGTGGGCCCGACGTATCCGAGCGTTTTTTGGCCCAGGGCAACAACTATTCACAATCAAGTCAGATATTGAATTTGAATTTGATACGTTCGGGCCCCCAGCGATTTTCCGGAGTGTGGCTCAGTCGGTGCCTTCTGGTGTACACAAGCTTTGCGGTGTACGCAGGCACTGTGGTGCACATGGGGTGCTGGAACAGCAGCTGTGGTGCACGCGGGTGCCGCGGTGTGTGCAAACAACGTGATGTAAGAAAGGCGGTGTGGTGCACACGGTTGCCGTGGTGCACGCACGCGTACCATTTTTGTAGCAGCCCTGGTGCGCAAAGGCATTGTGGTGTACAGAACCCGCGTTGCGTGCACAGGCGCTGCGGGCTTGGACGGCGACGGCGAAGACGACGACGACGACGACGACGACGACGACAATGACGCCGACGTAGGCGGCGCGCCTTGGGGGTGCGTTATCCCCCAGTAATTAAAACATTGTCTCTAACGGCCCGCCAGGGGTTTAAACATCACGCGAAAAGGTGCACGTTTCTCCGCACCCCTGTCAAGCCAAGCGACGCCCAGCGTTGCCCTTGCGGAGTGTGGGACGCAACACATCAACGTGTTCCGCGCCAGCGGCCCGCGTACCGTGATGCCGCAACCGCACGCATTAAGAATTCTGAGCGGCCTCGTGGCTTGCATTTGTCCCTCATGGCTACAGGGAGGGGGCCACGGGCTGTCGGTCAAGCATCGTTTCGCATGACGTGGCCGCTGCCGTTTCTTAGGGGCGAAACGCGGCATTTGTGAACAAGCTGCGAAGCATTGCGCGCAGGGCTCTTCACACCAAGTCGCCAGCATAACGAAGTGACTGTCTGCAGGCACCTCCATTGTCTGCAGGCGGCGCCATCACCGATCGATGAAGATAAAACCCCCGCCAGTTTCGAAAGCTGCGACCGTTACGTTGGCCAGTATAACATTGGAGTGTTGGCCGGAGCTGTGGCCTCTGCCGCTGGGAAGGACGAGCCCCGCCAAACCGCAACGAGTACGAACACAAACGCACGCGGTAACCACAACAGCAGGGCAATGATCGCTCCAACCAAACTGAAAGCAACTCATGTGTTCATCACTTTGGTTGATGCGTCTGGGGGGTCCCTTGGGTTTTCTCAAGGTCGGGGGGTCTCTTTGGCGGACCTCTTGGCCCGCCTTTGGGCATTCTTGGCCATCTTAGGCTGCCGGAAGCCCGACAAGGCGGGAGCTAGAACATCAATGGATATGGTTTCTGCAGGTTTTTCCCGGCAAGCTTTGGCCGTATCGGGAGTTTGTTGGGCCGTCTTTAGTCGATTTGGGATTGTCGTTGGGCCATCTGGGGCCCTCTTCGGGCCATCTTGGCTGTCTTGGAAGTGTCTTGGGATCGTCTTGGAGGCCATATTGGCCCGTTTGGCCGTCTCGGAGGCCCTGTTTGTTGGGCGCGAGCGCCGATGGGAACTGATTTTCTTAATCATCCTGTGTGGTGTTGGGCCCCGATTTGAAGAGTTCCCGCGTATCCTCCTCCGCCTCCTCGTCCCTCCCTTTTCCCAGCACTGCCTCAGCTGTTCGCATGACTTTCTGTCAGTACATGCCCTCACACTTCTCGTGGCCCCACAGGAGGGGAGGGGGCGCATGCGGCTGTTACCAACTTCGGCACACCCGTAACACGCTTCGTGAGCCCACGGGGAGCTCCTCCAACGCCCTCAGGAGGGGGATCACATAGGTTTTTTTCAACATTTTCGGCACACCACTCACTTGTTTCGTGGCCCCACAGGGAAGCTCCACCGAAAACCCCAGTTGGGGGGGGGGACGCATGCGGTTCTTACAACTTTCGGCGCATCCCTGACACGTTTCATGGCCCTATAGGGCGCTCCACCGAAGCCTCCATGGGATGGGTTATGCGTTTCTTATCCATCACACGTTTCGTGGCCTTCTGTCTTACAGGGATCTTCACCTGAGCCTCAGGGGAAGTGGGTCGCATGCGGTTCCCCACGCATTTCGGCCCACCCTCACACAGTTCGAGGCCCCATTGGGAGGTCCAGCGGAAACCCCAGTGGCACAGCTCACATGCGTCCTCAGGCCCATTTCGGCACATCCGTCACACGTTTCGTGGCCCCGAAAGGAGCTCCACCGAAGGCCCCATGAGGGGGGTCGCATGCGCCCCCGGGCCCATTCCGGCCCACCACTGACAAGTTATTTGGCCCCACAAGGAGCTCCATTGAATTCGATAAGTGCGGCATTCACACCCGCATATGGCTGGGTCTTTAGCCAGGATAATTTACTGATGTTTCCGTGTGGCCGGCGAAGTTCGCCGACGCCCTTCTGGGCGCCTTTCGGTAGGACCCAGATGTATTCAGATGTCGGGCACGCCACGCACCCCCCCTCAGCGCAGCCCGCGGACTCTCCATACATGGTAGCCCGACCATGCGATCTGGCAGCCCAGCCAAGCTGGCCCGAGCGCGCCATATGGTAGCCCGAGGATGCCACGGGGAAGCTCGCACGCGTCCAAAACGGCGCAAGATGTCCCAGAACGGTTGCCAAGAGGCCGCCAGTATTGGCCCAGGCGGCCCGAATAGGACATTTGAGCCCCTCAAGAGGAACACATTAGTAATTCCCGTGTGCGTTTATATCATTCCCGTGTGCCCACCATTTCGGTCGACAGAGCGCCCAAGACGCCTTGAGAGGCCCCATTGCTTGCTCAGTGGGTTTCACTGGTAGGAAGCCAAAGCTGAGCTGAAACAGTTGCATGTCGCGATGCTAAAGAGCTTGCTTCCCCTAGCCAATACGACTAGTTCGAACAATATCCGCAGCCATCATGGATCAAGCTGGACACAGGCGGCCGCAAAGCGATTCTGGACACAGGATCACCGAGGAGGAGGACGAGGGAGGAGAAGGAGGAGGAGGAAGAGGGAGGAGGAGGAGGAGAAGGAAGAGGAAGGAAGAGGGGGAGGAGGACGAGGACCAGTGCAAACCCAAGAGTCATCAACGATGTAGGCATAACCCTCCCTCGAAGCTCCCTCCTCATAGACCTTTACAACTGCTAATTTCCACTGAGGGAAGTGCCTCGATGGAAGACAACCGTTGGAAGACCCTGAAGCATGCCAAAACATTGTTCTCGGGATTCCAACGCTAGGGATCAACTTGACTGTTGGTTCTTGACGATCCTGAATCGTGCCAGAACGCCATTCCTGGGACTCCAACACCGCGAACCAACGTAACTGCTGCACGCTCTCGCATAATCACGAATCCTTCCAAAACGCCATTTCCGGTACGTTGATGATGGGAACCCGTGAAAGTCTTGCAGTTTCTCCAAAAAAAGAAAGCACACATGTGCGCGGCGCTGAGGCGAGAGCCACATTTTGAAAAGGGGCCGCCATCAATCCGTGTAACTTTTTATGTGTACACTTTAAAGAACCACAAATGTGCGCGGAGCGGAGGCGAGAGCCACATTTTGAAAACGACCCGCCCTCAATCCGTGAAGCTCTTGCAACTTGTTGAAAGCGAATCAGCGCGGCGCGGAGGCGAGAACCACATTTTGAAAACGACCCGCCCTCAATCCGTGAAGCGTTTGCACAGTTTACAAACGAATGTGCGCGGCGCGGAGGCGAGAGCCACATTTTGAAAACGACCCGCCCTCAATCCGTGGCACTCTTTCAAATTTCACAAACGAATGCGCGCGGCGCTAAGGCGAGAGCCACATTGCGAAAACCACCCGCCTTCAATGCGTGAAGCCTTTGCAATTGTTTTAACGAATGCGCGCGGCGCTAAGGCGAGAGCCACAGTGTGAAAATCACGTGGGAGAGGAAGCAGCAGTAGCAGGCAGAAGAGGCAGGAGGGGAGGGGCAGGGAGGCCAGAGATCAGATCGGGGGAGGAGGGCGAAGAGAGGGCGAGAAGGGCGGGCGCAGGACTGGAGCGAGGCACAGGAGCAGCAGCAGCGGCGGCGGCGGCAGCGGGAGCGGGAGCGAGTGCCGGCGGGAGCGGGGAGCGAGTGCGAGGCCTGCGCCCCCCCCCAGGTGCTCACTCCTCTCGCACCTTCGCGCCGCCCTCCCCGAGTTTCGCCTCCCCGGTCCTCCACCCCCTCTTCCGCTCCACCTCTTCGCGCCCTCCTGCCTCCCACCCCTTCGCGCCCTCCTGCCTCCGCCCACCCCCTGCCCCTCCCCCTGCCCTTCCCCCTGCCCTTCCCCGGCCACCCCCTGCCCTTCCCCCGGCCCCTCCGTCGAGCCTCCGTCATCCTTCCCTCCCCGCCGGCGCAGGAGAGCAATCCTGCTCCTCCCCGGCGACTACGGCGACCTCAGGGTCCCCGTGAGCTGGTACACCACGGTGTCGGGCGTCGGGCTCCAGCCTTCGGAGGCCCCGCCGGCGACCAGGGGGGCCTCGGGGGCTCCCGTAGCGCGGCGGGGCGGGGGGTCGGGTCAAGGCGCGGCCGAGGAGCCGGCGGGAGGGCCCTCGCTCCGCACGCGGAGACCGAGGGCGTGAGGTACTGCGGCAGCGCAGCACGCATGTGGAATCCCTCTTCCTCCTCCTCCTCCTCCTCCTCCTCCTCCTCCTCCTCCTCCTCCTCCCTCCTCCTCCTCTCCTTCTTCTCTCCTCCTCCTCCTCCTCCTCCTCCTCCTCCTCCCTCCCTCTTCTTCCTCCTCCACCTCCTCCTCCTCCCTCTTCCTCCTCCTTCCTCCTCCTCCTCCTCCTCCTCCATCTTCTTCCTCCTCCTCCTCAACCTCCTCATCCTCCTTCTCCTCCCGCTTCTTCTTCCTCCTCCTCCTCGCTGTGTGTCCCACAGCATGTGTTCCACATGCGCTCGAGGTGTGGATCTTCCAACCGCTGCCAGGGGAAGCGCGTCTGGCTGTGGATATGTCCCTTGCAGCAGGAAGAGAGGAGGAGAAGGAGGAGGGTGACGGCCAGCGTGCCGAAGAGGGGGGGAGGACGCGTTCCTCCTCTCCTCCTCCTCCTCCTCCTCCTCCTCCTCTCCTCCTCCTCCCCTCCTCCCTCTTCTTCTTCCTGCTCTGCCTGCTCCTGCTCCTGCTCCTCCTCCTCCTCACTCCTCCTCCTCCTCCTCCTCCTCTCCTTCCTCCTCCTCCCCTCCTCCTCCTCCTCCTCCTCCTCCTCCCTCTTCTTCTCCTCCTCCTCTCCGCTTCCTCTCCTCGCTCCTCCTCCTCCTCCTCCCCTCTCCTCCTCCCTCCCGTCCTCCTCCTCCTCCTCTTCTTCTTCCTCCGCCACCTCCTCTCCTCCCTCTGCGTCTCCTCCTCCTCCTCCTCCTCCTCCTCCTCCTCCTCCTCCTCCTCCTCCTCCTCCTCCTCCCTCTTCTTCCTCCTCCTCCTCCTCCTCCTCCTCAACCTCCTCATCCTCCTTCTCCTCCCGCTTCTTCTTCCTCCTCCTCCTCGCTGTGTATCCCACAGCATGTGTTCCACATGCGCTCGAGGTGTGGATCTTCCAACCGCTGCCAGGGGAAGCGCGTCTGGCTGTGGATATGTCCTTTGCAGCAGGAAGAGAGGAGGAGAAGGAGGAGGGTGACGGCCAGCGTGCCGAAGAGGGGGGGAGGACGCGTTCCTCCTCCCCTCCTCCTCCTCCCCTCTCCTCCTCCTCCTCCTCCCCCTCCTTCCTCTTTTCTTTCCTGCTCCTGTCCTCATCCTCCTCCTCCTCCTCCTCCTCCTCCTCTCCTCCTCCCTCCTCCTCTCCTCCCCCTCCTCCCTCTTCTTCTTCCTGCTTCCTGCTCCTGCTCCCTCCTCCTCCTCCTCCTCCTCCTCCTCCTCCTCTCCTCCTCCTCCTTCTCCTTCTCCTCTCTGTGTATCCCACAGCATGTGTTCTACATGCGCTCGAGAAGTGCCGAAGAGGTGGTGAGGACGTGTCCCTGGGCTCCTGGAAGAGGTATTCGTTTGCTCTTGGGCGGGGTCTTTGCCACGGGATGCTTCCCAACAGCCGCGCCTCGTCGAGGGCTTCGCGGGGCTGCCCAAGTCGTCCCGAGCGATCCCCCGAGGCCCGAGCCGTGTCCCGAAAGCCACGAGTTGGCCAGGAGTGGTTGAGGACTAAGGGGTGTGTGGACATCATGGCCAGGGCCCTTCTATCTCCCAGGTATCATGGCCAATTTGTGCGTCTTCCATCTTTGACAGAATTCGGGCAGCACCGCAGTGCGTGCAAACGCGTAGTACATAGGAGGGAGTCGGAGGAGGAGGAGGAGGCGGAGGAGGAGGAGCAGGAGCAGGAGCAGGAGGAGTGAGGAAGAGGAGTGAGGAGGATGAGGTAGACGATGCGGAGGATGAGCAGTGGCAGGAGGAAGGAGGAGGAGGTCGGCGACGGCGACGAGAGGACGAGATATGCAGGAGGAGCGATAAGAGGAAGGAGGACGAGGTGGAGAGGATGAGGAAGAAGATACCTCATGATACGAGGAGGAAGAGGAGGAGGAGCAGGAGGAGGAGGAAGAGGATGAGGGGGAGGGATGGCTTCTCTGGCGACTGTGGGGAAGCCCACACAGACAGAGGTTGGTTCCCGTGTTCGGCAGGATGGGTGGGCATCGCAACTCTCTCTCGGTGCTCTCGGCCAACCCTGGCCACCTCGGAGGCCAGAGGCCTTGCCCTGGCGCTCCCCCGCGGGTGGCCGCGAGGCGCTCGTCGGGGGTGCCTCACGCGCCCGTTGGTTCGTGGGACTCGCCAGCGGCTTGGTACAGTGCCCCGTGGCGGGGCCACACGCAGTCACCATGTCTCTGCCGTTTGGGGAGAAGGGAGGAGCCTGGCCTCGCTCGGACGTGTGCGTTTCTTCTTCGGCGAGGACCGCTGAGGCCGAAACATGCACGGGGAATGGACGTCCGAGCGACGGCGAGGAAAGAACACCAGTCGAGCCACAGTCGGGGTCATCCGAGCAGCCCCCGACAATGGCCACCTCGGGTACCTCCTTGGGAGCCTCGTTGCGGCCCGTTGAAGGCCAGCCGGCCCCATCCTATATAGGGACGCTGTGGGTGTCTTTGGGGTCCTCTTGGGGCTCTGCTGGAGCCCTCCGTGGCGCATTTCGGGTGTTTTGGGGGGGCCATGTCGGAAGTAAGGCGTCGAACATGGGGATGCGTTCATATTAAGCACCCCCCCACACCTCCACTGGAGCCGCACAGCTTGCCGGGGCCTCTTGGGATTTCCACTCGTGCTTTGTTTCTGGACTAAGTTGGGCCCCTCTTGGACAACATTGGAGCCAACTTGAGGCGGTGTGCGCCACTCATCAACGAAACGGAACACAAATAGAGAGAGAGAGAGACATACACAGAGAAGGCACACGCATCATTGAACACTGAATTTGTTGGGGCGCATTGGGTTTCTCGGGAGGATCCTCAGGAGACTCCGTGGCAACCTCGAGCCTGCAACCTCTTGGATGCATGCTGCAGACCATCTGGAGGACATCTTGAGCTATGTTGAGTCCATCTTGGAATTATGTTGGGCCACCTAGGACTTTCGAGTGGATCGAGCCCTGCCCCATTTCCGTCCGCCTTCGAGATTCCCTGGGAGGATGTTGGGAAAAGGGTGCCCCTCCCGATCGGTAAGAGGGGCTTCCTTTCTGGAAGAGCTGATCCGCCAAACCGCCTACATACATATACATAGGGCTGCTGGGATTCCGCCAGTTTGCCGCACAGGTTTGAACTTAGTCTCAGGCCTGGGGTAGCGGGACAGGGGCTTTGGACTTCCCCTGTCAGGTACAGTTCGACGCTGGACATTTCTGAGGCTACAGATGCCAGTGGGCTGCGATCTTTGTCTAAGAACGTCGTCTGTGTATGGAGCGTTGGGATAACTGTCGCTTCTGCTTATGCTACCGCCTTCCCGAGCGAGCTCACTTTGGCCGTGTAACACAAGGCGACCGGCGATTGGAAGCCCATAAGCATCTTCCAGTCTACACCGTGCCTGTTTTGGAAGTCCCTAGCACGAAATGGGTGCATAAGATTAGAATACGCTTGTATGTGTTACCCTGTCTTTCCAGTAATCCAGGACCGAACTGCGGCAGTGATGATACGCTGTGGAGCGAAGTTGCCAGAACGTACCACAATCAATTAGAACACGTGTGAGTCTGTCGCGTTGATTGCAGTCAGCCCTACGAGCACACCGGCACGTCAACAATTTGAAATACCCTGGATGTATTCCCTTTTTCTCTATATCCACCGCCGCTTCGTGCTTTTGATATGAGCTGCAGGCGGCCACGATGCCTTCTCGTGTCGTCGTGTCTGCTCCCCCCCACCCGCTGCCACCCTCACGAGGGGAGAAAGTGTCCAGGCTTCCTACACGGGCTCACGATGGCAAAGCCGTCATAAGGGCATGTTTGCGGCGTTTTGACCTGCGAGCAATGTGGACCTTGCATCGGCGATGTGACCGGCCGGTGGCCGTACTCGCGCTTGCCGCACGCGTCACTGTGTTGATGCAAGTGGCGGTCACGGTTTTGTTGTTCGCGAACGTGTCAGGAGTTGCCAGCGGTTTTCCAGAGCTGTTACACACGGAAAGCGTTTCCAATTCGGCCAGTGTGTGCCGATTTTGCCCCCTCTCGCTTGGTAAGCAATACCCTTGCATCTCCGAGCATGTCACTAACTCGAGGGCGGATGTTCGAGGCGGGTCCCTCCTGTTCAGACAGGGGGGGTGCCTCGCCACATGTTCCTACCTCCCCCATCTCTTTCTCCCCTCCTTTCCTCTCATCCTCTTCTCTTCTCCTCATTTCCTTTTCATCCCCCTCCTCCTTATCCTCTTCTTGTCTCATCGTCTCTCGTCTCCTCAACTTCTCCTCGTCTCCTCTTTCTCCCCTTCTTCCCATATCCTCCTACTGCCCCTCATCCTTCCTCCTTCCTCCTTCGCCCCCTCCTGTCTCTGATCCTCCCCTCCTCCCTCCCCCTGCTCTATTTCGTTCTCTCCCTCAGCTCTCCTCAGCCCTCCTCCTCTTCCTCCTCCGTCGTCAGCTCCGCTCTTACCCCTGCTCATCCATCCCCCTCCTCGTTCATTGCACTCCGCCTCCCTCCTTTCCCGCCTCACTTCTCCCTCTCTGATTCCTCGCCCTCTCCTCTCTCCTCGCCCCCCTTTTCCTCGTTATACCCCTCCTGTTTGTCCTCCCTCCTCCTCGTCCTTCTCGTCCTCCTATCTCGTCCTCTTACCCCTCCTCCTCCTCCTCCTCCTCCTCCTCCTCCTCCTCCTCCTCCTCCTCTTCCTGTTCCTCTTCCCACTCCGCCTCCTTGTCCTCCCCGTGCGCGCTTCGCACGGGCGTGGCGTGCGCACGCCTTGCCCAAGCTTGTCAGTTGTTTTCCAGCTGGAAGGCGTGGGTCGGGTTTCAGAGGTCTTCGAAACACTCTCCGCTTGGACTTTCCCCGGGAACTCTTCCGAGACTGGGGGGGCTCCTGAGGCCCCAGAGGGCACGGACCCAACCATCCTCACCCTCCTCCTCCTCTTCCTCCTCCTCCTCCTCCTGCTCCTCCTCCTCCTCCTCCTTCTCACCCTCACCCTCCTTCTCACCCTCCCTCCCGCCTCCTCCCTCCGCCTCCTTGACCTCCTCCCGCCCCCCCCCCCTCAGCAGCCTGGGGTGGGGGGGTCGGGGCTGTGGAGCCGAAGGGCCCCCCCCTGCCAACAGGTGCTCGTCCGCGGCGTGTCCTCGGAGGACGCCTACCCAGGCGGAGGGCGCGCCTCCCTCCCCCGTCTGCCCCCTCCGCTCTGGCGCTTGCCCGCCCCCCCGTCTCCCCCCCCCCCTTGGCACGCCCAGGCCCGGGCCCGCTCCCTCCATCGTCCTTATTCCACCTTCGCGCTCCCTCCACCGTCCGTCTCTTCCCCTGCCCCCTCCCGTCCCCCATCCCCAGGGGTGGGCCTGGTCTCGGTGAGGCCCCCTCACCCTCTCTTCCCCCCCCCCCCCCCCCTGAGCCCCTCCTGCCCCCTGCCGCTCCCCTTGCCCTTCCTCCCTTGTCCCTCCCCCTCCTGCCCCGTTCTCCCTCTCCCCCCCTCTTGCCCGTTGTCCCTTGTCCCTCCCCCGAACTCCGTTCTCCCCCTTGCCCCATTTGTCTCTCGCCGGCCGAGGGTACGCCCGCCCCCCGACGGCACCAGGAGCGAGGAGCGAACAGAGAAGGTGTGGAGTCGTGGGACAGTTGTGCCCTGGAGCGTCGTGGGAAGAGGCAGTGCCTGTTGTGAAGGGCGGGATCTTGCTCGCCCTCATCCCTCATCTTCCCTGGCTCGCGGGAGGGCGCGGACCCGTAGTAAGCCGGCGGCCCGACCTAGAATTCCCAGAATACCAAGACGGCAATGCCAATCATTAAAATGTTTCATTTGAGGAACGAGTTGCCAACACCATGAGAATGAATGGATGTACATTCGTGGTGTACTGTCTTGTCATTCTTGGTAGGCAGTGCTTGTATTCTTGATGTCGAATGGGGGGTGCACTACTCCTCGGCTGCATTATTGGTTTACTCGATATTTACCGCGTGAGCCAACAATGCCGCTCAAGGGGCGTGCACCGCCCCACTCAGACTGAATCACAAGCACGCATACTCAACAATACCAAAAACACCAAGCATCGAACACGCTTGGTCTTACCAGCGAGGAGCGGGTGGCATTCTTGCTATTGGCGAGAATTGCCACGTGGGTGAACACATCCTTGTTTCTGAATTCTTGGAATTCGTGGTGTGCCGCCGCCTTACTACAGGGCCGCGCTGTTCTGCAGCCTTCTACTCTATCCGTCAGCCTCCCTCCCTCCTTTCTCCCTCACGTCTTGATCTTCCATCCTCATCCTTCCACCCCACTCCTGCCCCGTGGGCCGTGGGGGGGGGGGGACCTCGGATATGTGGACACGTTCGCGTTACGCCAGGGTTAATCTGGTAGGTTACCAGAAACGGGACACTAATGGTTGCCTCCTGTTTTCTTCACGTGGCGCATTCTTCTGCCCGCGGCCCAACACACTGACCTCGACCCAACGGCGGTCTCATGGTAGAGTCATCATGCGTCCGTCTCTTGATTGCACCTCCAGCGCCCTCCGCCTCCCTGTCCGTCCTGTTTCCTCACATCTCGTTCTCTCCCCCCCCATCCCTCCTCCCTCCCCCAGCCCCTCTATTCTCCTCCTTGCCTCTCGGAGGGGGTTCGGGGGGGGGAAGGGGGGAGGAGGGATGGGCCCCCTTCCTCCTCCCTCCTCCCTCCCTCCTCCTGGTCCTTCCCCCTCGTCTTTCCCCCCCCCCTTCCTCCCCTTCCTCCCCTTCCTCCCTCCTCCTGCTCCTTTCTCCCCTTCCTCCCTCCCCTCCCTGGGCCCCTTCCTCCGCTTCCTTCCTCCTCCTGGTCCTCCTCCCTCGTCTTCCCCCCCCCCCTTCCTCCCTACCCCCCCTTTCCCTCAAGCTCCCCCCCCCCCTCCGTGGGAGCGCCTCGTGCGGGCGCGCCCTCGCGAGGCTCCAAGCGGGGCTCGCTGGAGAACTTCTGGAAGGGCGTGGAGGGGCTCACGCTGAAGGCGGGCGGGGGGGGGGCAGGGGGCAGGGGGCAGGGGGAGGGAGAGGGGGGAGGACGAGCAGGAGGGGAGGGGAAGGGGGCAGAGGGTGGGGGTAGGGGTGCAGAGGCAGGAGGGGGGGAGGGGGAGGAGGTGAGATGCCGGATGCGGGGAGGAGGAGGGGGGAGGAGAGGAGGAAGATGGTACGGGGAGGGCGATGGAGAGAGAGAGAGAGAGAGAGAACAAGAAAAAAAGAGAGGCTTTGTTTGTTTTCTCTCTCTCTCTCTCTCTCTATATATATATATATATTTGTCTCTCTTTCGCCTTCTATTTCTCTCTTTTTTTTTTTCTCTCTCTCTCTCTCTCTCTATCTGTCTTTTCATCTCGCCTCTCTGCCCGCAGTCGGCGAGTGGCTGCGAGGGGTATTGTCTTTCCGCCTGCATGCGAGCGTGGAGCCGATAACCGACTGATTCCTCAGCACTCGTCGGCCGATGTGCTCGCGCCGTGAAGTTCATTCAACGCTCTGTCGGATGTTTATTCCCTCTTCTTTTGCCACCTCTTGCACCATCCGTGTAAATCCAGGCTGGCACGGTGATGGGCCGCAGGGAAGGGTTCGAGGGTGATGGTGCAACCTAAGTTTTCAGCTTCAAAGCAGTACTGTGTGTATGTGTGCCCTGAACACCACAACGTAGCATAATCATCGCACGCTTTACATGAAGTGTAGATGCCGACGCGGCAGACTGGGAAGCGGCCAGGGGACTCCGTCCCATGCCGACGAATGGTGTCGAGGTCCGATGGATTTACAAGTTCACGCACCACTGAGCTGAATCAGTACACTAAAGCTCTAGTTGGGTGTTGCACCTCCTTTGTGATTGCCCCATCCCATCCCCATTTTCCCAGCGCCCCTGACATCCTTGGAGCTTTGTAGACGGCGAGGGGCCGAGCGCCTATGGGGATTGGACGGCGGGTGCCAATTAGGAGAGGGAGGCCGAGAGCACCAGATTTGGGCCGATGGATTGGATCACCCTCCGCGGCCAGAGCTAATGCCAGGAAAGCATCGCATCTGCTCTGGAGCTTGCAGGAAGCACGGCGGGTAGCAGCTGGCTTGTTGTTGCTTCTCCTGCCTCCCCTCCCCGTCCGTCCTCTCCTCATTCATTTGGCTCGATGGAGCCACGACGGCCGCCAGAGCCTCTGCTGTTTGCAGCGTCCCGCGAAGCGAATGTCGATACGTCCTCCCCCTCTCCGTCGTCCTCCCCCCTCTCCTTGTCCCCTCCCCTCCCCTCGTCCTCCTCCCCCGCCTCTTCCCCCCTCTTTCGCCCCTCCTCCCCCATACCGCTAACCATGCCGAGGGGCAAGTGTCTCTAGCCCCCCCTTTCGGACGTCTTCCACTCTGCTTGTGCTATTGGTCCTTCTGCTCCTCCGCTGGCTCGCTCGCTCGTCATCCCCTCCGCGCCCTCCCCTTCTCCCCCTCGTGTCCCTTTCCCACCCAGGCCCAACCACTTCCAGGGGGGGGGGGGGAGGACGAGGAGGGGGTTGGGGGTGATGTGGGGTGGTGGTGGTGGGAGGGGGGGGGGCAGGTGGAAGGGGAGGGGGAGGGGAAGGGGGAGGGGGTGGGGAAGGGGAGGGGAGGGGCGAGGGGGAGGGGGAGGGGAGAGGGAGGGGGAGGGGAGGAGGCGGTGAGGAGGGGGGAGGGGGGGAAATGGGAATGGGAATGGCCGCCAGCACAAGGCGAAATAGGGGATTTGCCTGCAGCCCTAGACGCTTGTTGGGCGCGGGTCAGCGCCTTAGGCCAGGCACCTCTGCCGATCCGCTTGAGATATTCCTGGCGAGTCACGGAGGGTTGAGACAAACAAGGTGTTTTCAACTATTGGATAAGAGTTCATTGCCAAATAAGGCGCAACTATTACAGAACCAAGCGCAGAGGTTCTCGTGGTATGCCATCTCGTGCCCCCCCAGAACAAGATTTCGAGGGCTACGCGAAGCGGCGTCCACCTCACAAGCGTAGCTGTTCTCTCTACTCTCCATACCTGCGCAGGAACAGCGGCAGGTAAACGACAGAACGGCAGCTTCGCCAGCACAGCAATCGGCGACAGTGTTGTCCACCACTAGCTAGCTGGGGGCCCTCCTAGAAACAGCCTCCCAGTGAGAAGTATGAGAAGGCATTCCAGCAATCTGGGCGGCGGCTCGACCTGTGCTGAGAATGTTGGTTCGAACCATGGTGCACACGCCAATCGTTTGCCCTCGTGGTTGAATGTAGAATCCACTGCGCCATCCATCAAGAACGCCATCGTCGTGCGAGGCATAGATGAAAGTGGGGCCGCAGGAGTGCACAATCGCTTACAATAGATCATGTTGCTTACCTTCATGGATTGTCCGCCGCCTTTCCGGCGAATGTCTCGATCTCCTCACTTTTATCTCGTTGTTTTCGGCCCATCTCGCCATCGTGCCTGGGCTGTGGGCAGAAAGCCGACTGATTGTTAGCAGGTTCTCGTAGGCGGGCCTCTCGGAGGCCTCTTGGAGGCAGTTTTGAGGCCTCTTGAGGCAGTGCTGGTCCTTGTTTGGAGCCTCTTAGGAGCCTCTTGGGGGGGGCCTCCTGGGCGTCCCTTGGGGCCTCCTGGGGGCACCTTGGGGCGGAAGGTTGGGATTCCCGGGTCGTGCTCCCTCTTTTGGGCCCCTATCTGGGCTGTGTTAAGAACCTCTTGGGCCATCTTGGGCGACTCTTGGGCCGTCTTGGGGCGCTCTTATGCCGTCCTGGGGCCCTCTTGGATGCCTCTTGGGCCGCCTTGGGGTGGTCTTGGGGGACCCTTGAGCCGTCTTGGAGCGTCGAAAAGCTGAAAAGGCGAGAACGCCGCCCAAATCTTTCAACAACCGAAGGGCAACTTCGGGGACCCTTTTGGGAGGCCTCTTGGAAGTCTCTTGTGGTGTCCTGTGCGCCTCTTGTGCCAGCTCGGGGCCATCTTGGGCGTCTTGGAGCGATCGTTCGGCTATTCGGGGTCATTTTGGATCCATGGGATGGTTAGAGAGGTCGCTTTGGCGGGGGCGCATCGTCCACACGAGGCGCAGGAAACACATTGGTCCGGGATTTGAAAGACTTCAAGCTATCGCTGCAGCAGCAGCACAGTGTCTACCTCTTGAGCCTTGGGGCATTCCACTTCGTGCCAGAGGCACGGCGGCGGATCTCAGGCGACACAAAATCGCCAATAACTACCACCGCAACTCCTTCACGAGCCAAGCGAACTTCGGAAGAATCAGGGCCCCCAGTTGCTTCCCCGATGATGGTCACAGGCTGATGCTGGGAACCTTGTTCGAGGACGGTAGACGGTCCATCTAAACAAACCCCGCTGCCATCGATCGTCCATGTTGGATCTGGCGTCGCCTCAAGGTTTCGTGCCGAAGCCCTTGGGACAAGATTTCGCATCCCAAAACATGATTCACGATCCTGACGAGCGGGTGCTGCTGGGGAGAGATCGGCAGAATGCTTGGAACGATTTGTGAGAGGTACCATTGGCTCGCACAACCATGCTCGATGTACTACTTCCCTGGGTCCTTTCAAACACCGCGTACATGTTGTTGAATTACGATGTCGGGTCTCATCGGCCAGTCCCTGCTTGGATACAAATCCTTTTTCCCAACCATCCTGTGGTGTTGGGTCCTCGTTTTGAAGAGACGGCGCCCCGCGTTCCTCACCTCCTCCTCCTCCCCCCCCCCTCCCTCCTCCCATCATCATCATCATCATCATCATCATCATCATCATCATCATCATCATCATCATCATCATCATCCGTAACCATTTTGGCTAAAGCCATTTTGGCTCAAGGTGGCGCGATCAGGGCAGATGTCTGGTCTCATGAGGCTGGCTCTAGCCGTCGCGTCCATTCTTGGGTCAGGTTCCCAATCTTCCAAGCTTTCAGTGAGGCCTTTTGGGCCACAGTTCTTTCCATATTCCATCACCGACACCCGGCCCCAGTCGCCCGATTGGGAGCCCAGCCGCGGCGGGCTCGACCAATGGCAGGACGTGGAGGTGGTGCTCGTGGTGCCGCGCGCGGTGGCGGCGGCAGAGCCAGTAGCAGCCGGGGACAGCGGGGCGGCCAAGCTCCAGGCGCGGGCGGCAGGGGTGCAGCGCCCAGGGTCTGGGATTGCCCCCAGTGCGGAGCCAAGAAGAATTGGGGCTCTCGGCGCGTCTGCAGGAGTTGCGGCTACGACTGGTGGGAAAGCGGTTCTGGTACGAGTTCTTGGTGGAGTGGCATGTCACAACTGGACGCCAGAGAACGCCACGAGCTCAACCAGTTGCGGAGGAAGGTCAAAAAGTTGGAGGCCAGCAGCCAAGCAGGACCAGGAGTCGATGGCGGTGGCGCTGGGGCGGCAGGCGTCGGGTCGCAGCCTGACGACAAGTCTGAACGTGTCCGCCGATTGGGCAAGCTACGAAGTGAGATCAAGAAGATCGAGGGCGTGGACGGCGCGGAGGCCATTCTCGAATCCAAACGGCAGGAGGCGCAGCAGTTGGAGAACGAGTTGGCAGCAACCAAGCCCACATCAGTCCAGCTCAGCGAGTTGGAGCGCAAGCAGAAGAACCAGGAGGCCACCACGGCGGCCTTGGCGAGCAGGATCTCGGCGGCGGACAAGCAGCTCGCTGAACTACAGGCCCACAAGCTCGAGCTGGAGGGCAAACATGCGCAGAGTCAGGCCGGCGAGAAGGAGCTCCAGGCGCTCATCGACAACCTCCTGGCGCAACAGCTCCGCGAGCGTGAAGCACAGCAGCGGGAGGAAGGGCCGCGAGGGACGGTTGCCCCAGCGTCCCCAGGCGCCCAACTCAGCGAGGGGGAGCGAGCCACCGCTTTCCTCGCCGCTCTTAACCAGTGCTCAGGCATGCTCGCCCCTGGCTTCGCTGAGCAATGGGACGGCCAAGTCGCAGAGTTGCGGCGTCTGGCACAGCGCGTTGCCACAGCAGGTGCCGCGGCGGAGCGCGACGGGAGCGGCGACGAGCAGGAGATCGACGAGAAGGACGTCGACGTCATCCTGGACTC